ACAAAATGGAGTGGCTGAACGTAAGAATCGGCATCTAGTTAAAACTGCTCGTACCCTATTAATTCATATGAATGTTCCACTTCGTTTTTGGACAGATGCTATAATCACCTCTTGCTTTCTCATCAATCGCATGCCCTCTTCCGTACTCAATAACGAAGTTCCACTTAGTGTTTTATTTCCTGGAGCACCTTCCTATCCTCTACCTCCACATGTATTTGGATGTACCTGCTTTTTTCATGATCTTACTCCAGGAAAAGATAAATTAACATCCAAAGCCTTCAAGTGTATTTTCCTTGGATATACTCGTTTTCAAAAGGGGTATCGTTGCTACTCTCCTGATCTCAAGCGTTATATTGTCTCGGCTTATGTCACTTTCCTTGATCAACAATCTTTTCATTCTATCCCATCTCAGATAACACAAGTTGATCAAGTTCTTCCTGTTCCTTTTCTTGATTTGTCTTTACCAGTTGCAGGAGACTCTATCCCGGAGGAGCAGCCCCTTGCCTCCATCCCTGTGGACCGTCCTTTTCTCACCTATCAACGTCGTCAGCCTGCGCCTCCAGCGGATTTGACCCTTACTGACTCACCGCCTGCTGCTGTCGACTCTTCCCCTCAGGATCCTCCATTAGAGATTACTCCCATTGCCCTTCGCAAAGGTATTCGATCCACTCGTAACCCTCATCCACTTTATAGTTTCTTGAGTTATGATAGACTTTATTCACCATATTTTACTTTGTTTATAGTATTTCGTCTATTTCTATTCCTAAAACCACAGGTGAAGCACTCTCTCATCCGGGTTGGCGTCAAGCAATGATTGATGAAATGCAAGCACTTCACTCCAGTGGCACATGGGATCTTGTTCATGCTACTCCTGAAAAGTCAGTTGTCGGTTGTCGATGGGTATTCACTGTCAAAGTTGGTCTTGATGGCACTGTTGATCGCCTCAAAGCTCGTTTGGTGGCCAAGGGATATACTCAGATATTTGGTCTTGACTATGGGGATACTTTTTCTCCTGTTGCCAAGATGGCATCTGCTCGCCTATTTCTTGCACTTGCTGCCATTCATCAATGGCCTCTTCTACAACTTGATATCAAAAATGCATTCTTACATGGTGACTTGCAAGAGGAAGTATATATGGAGCAACCACCAGGTTTTGTTGCTCAGGGGGAGAGTTCTGGCATGGTATGCAAGCTTCGTAAATCTTTATATGGCCTGAAGCAGTCTCCTCGGGCCTGGTTTAGTCGCTGCAGTCCGCTGTTCAATCCTTCGGTTTATCCCGAAGTAAAGCGGATCATTCTGTCTTCTATCGGCATAGCTCTTCTGGCCAGCGCTTCTATTTCCTGGTCTATGTTGATGACATCATTATTACTGGCAGCGATCAAGCTGGGATTGATCAGTTAAAGAAGTACTTATTCAATCAGTTTCAGACCAAAGATCTTGGCAGACTTCGATATTTCTTAGGAATCGAAGTAGCACAGTCTAGGAAGGGCATTTCCATTTGTCAGAGGAAGTATGCACTGGATATATTAGATGAGACTGGTATGTTGGGATGTAAACCCATTGATACACCTATGGATCCTAATATTAAGTTATTACCTGGACAGGGGGAGCCATTGGCAGACCCTGGTCGTTACCGCCGACTAGTTGAAAAGTTGAACTATCTTACTGTGACAAGACCAAACATCTCTTTTTCAGTTAGTGTGGCAAGTCAATTCCTTGACTCTCCTTGTGACTCTCATTGGGATGCAGTTATCAGGATTCTTCGATATATCAAAAAGGCACCAGGAAGAGGTTTATTATACACTAATAAGGGGAATGCAGAAGTGTCTAGCTATTCAGATGTTGACTGGGCAGGTTCTCCTTCAGACAGACGATCCACCTCGGGGTATTGTGTTCTCCTCGGAGGAAATTTGATCTCTTGGAAGAGTAAGAAGCAAACTGTGGTTGCCAGATCAAGTGCAGAGGCAGAATATCGGGCCATGGGAATGCGACATGTGAGCTCATCTGGCTAAAACAATTGCTTAAGGAATTACATCTATGTGAACAACGGCCCATGAAACTCATTTGTGACAATCAAGCCGCATTGGACATATCCTCTAACCCAGTCTTTCATGAGAGGACTAAACATATAGAAATTGATTGTCACTTTGTTAGAGAAAAGATTCAGTCAGGCGAGATCGAGACAGCATTTGTCAATTCCAGTGATCAACTTGCAGATGTTTTCACCAAGGCTCTTAGAGGTCCCCGAATAGATCATATATGTAACAAGCTGGGTGCTTATGATATATACGCACCAGCTTGAGGGGGAGTGTTAGAAATAATATTAGTTTTATTATTATTAGCTTATTATTCTAGAAGGTTATTTGGGCTTAGCCCATTAGGTCATTTAACCTCTTTAAATAGATGACTCTTGTACAGTTTTATACAATTGAATACAATACATTCATACATTATAACTCAACCTAAAAGCTTAAGCTGTTGGGTGATGCTACATTAATGGTTTAATATATCTCAACACGCCCCCTCACACGAGAGCCCACTGGGCTTGAAGGGTGGATAATGCACAGGTCCACCTACTTGTACGAACAAAGAAATTCCACTTGAAAGAAAGTGGGGGGCGACGAGGATCGAACCTAGGACACGAGGCTTGATACCATGTAAAGAACCTTGGGATATGGTATCAGCTCTGATACCATGTAAAGAACCTTGGGATACACCACCCCAAAAGCTAGCTTTAAGGGTGGGAGTGCCCAAGACCTTATAAACCTCATATTAGTTGCACATACAATCAATGTGAGACTATATATCTCAACACGTCCCCTCACACGAGAGCCCATTGGGCTTGAAGAGTGGACAATGCAACAGGCCCGGCCTACCTGTGCTAAGAAACACCACAAGAGAAAGTGGGGGGCGACGATGCTCTGATACCATGTAAAGAACCTTGGGATACATCATCTTAAAAGCTAGCTCTAAGGGTGGGAGTGCCCAAGACCTTATAAACCTCACATTAGTTGCACATACAACCAATGTGGGACTATATATCTCAACAGTTTCAGAATGGGTTCCAATATAATTGGACTTTTGTATCATGATTTGCGATGCGCATCGACATTTTTTTGAGTTTTTAATTATTTTTTATTTCCATAATAACAATTTTTTTTATTAGGGATTAATGTTTATCATTTTAAAAGATATAAAATTATGTCATTTTAATCAAAACTATTGTGTTTCTTGGTGAGAGAAATAAAAACCATGGCGGGAGAAAGTGAGAATTTTTTTTAATTTAAATTTTAAATAAAAAATATTAATTTTAACTCAAATGACAGTCATTTAAAAAGATAAATATTTTTCTTTTTCTATTATTAAAATTTTTATTACTTATTTAAGGGTGTTGTGAACTCTAATTATTTGGTTTAATAAAAATATTATTAAGAATTATGGCTACTCTGAATCCTAATTTGTTCTATTTAACCAATTTTATGCACACTTCGCCATTACAAAAGATAAAATAAAATAAAATAATTCAGCAATTTAAGTTAGATAAACTAAATAATTATGTGGGAAGTCAATTCAAACACCTAATCATCTTTCATCTTTGTTTTGCATGCTAAACTACCTAATTGATCAGCCTCATCTACTAAAAATGACAATTACCTAAGCCTCCAATTTTTTAAGTATCCACAATGGGTTTTCAGCTCCCCAGCTATTCCACCGACTCATTCAAATAGTAGGCCACCTATTTTTATGGTATTTATTTGCTGGTTTTTAACCTCACTCTCACATTGATCCAAGATCTTGAATATATAGAAAGATATTCGTTGATGCATGAGAGTTGTGACGTAGGATGTAACACTAAATTAAAGCATCATTTTAATTAAGGGGTTATATTTATAAAATTTTTTTTTTACAAACTTACAAACTATATTAAGTATGACTAATCAGACTTCAATCAAGAGTATATCACCGATCAGACATAATATAGTTTGTAAATAAAAAATTTATAAATATAACTTTCCCCTTTTTATTAACTTACAATTAGGATTCATTAGTTGTTAACTTTTGTTTTCTTTTGAGTAAAACAATTGAACCTGGGAATACAAAATCTGACTACTCAATAGAGGAAAAATGGTGAGTTTCTAAATGAGGAATCTCAGTTGTAAAGTAATTGTTTTCCTTAGAACTAGTATTAAATAAAGGGAAAAACAACTCTCATGTTGTAAGAAAGTTTTTTCTTATACTAGTGACCTTCAATCTTTGTGTAGTATTTTCTTTTGTTTTTTATTTTTTAATAGATGTGAATTCCACACAAAATATGTCTATAACATAAAATATTTATGTCTTACTGCATAAAAAAATCAAAACCCTTAAATAAATGTATAAATTATTTTGGTCTTTGAAAGTTTTGACTAATATGAATTGGTCCTCCGATGAACTTGTTAGTAAGTTAATAACTTACCTAAAATAAATTTATTAATGAAATGAAAACTTCAAAAACTACTCTTTATAGACAAGAATTTTCCGAAACCAAAGAACCACAATTATACAGACGTGATAAGATTTTTTGACATGAGTATAAAAAAAATTTGGTTGACACCAAATCCTAACCGTTAATTTGTCTTGATCTAATGACTCTAATTTGTAAGATGTGATTTAATTAGTTGGGATTAATTTCCCTCTAATCCGACGCGTGATATACCTTACTGGATGCTGTTAGGCTAGGAGGTCATTCACAGTTGAAAGGTTACATTTGCATAGAGAAAAGTTGCTTGGATTACCATATCATATATGCACATTACATGAAGAACCCTTCTATATCATCAAAACGAACATTACAGAATTACCTGATGAATTTCACTTATTGATTCATCTAAACTATTTTATCCTCACTGTTTTGTTCATTACTCAACACTAGTGTACCATACTCAAAACATGAAGAAACTCCGATTCAGTCTCTCCTCGTTTCCTTAATCTGCCACATGCATTTCATTTTTCTTGAAATCTTAGTTCCTTTTCCGCTGAAGCCAATTGGCAAATGCCTCAAGTGTCTTCATGTCAGCTCTGTAGTGCTTCTGAGTAAACTCAAGCAGCATAGGCCATGTAAAATCTGGGTATAGCCTTGGACTGAAATTGTCCACTAATTGACAAGGTGCACTTACCACTTTATCATTTCTTGGACACAAAAAGAAAGCAAGAGATTTTCTTGTTGTCTGGCTGTTCACCACTGCCCTATGCAAGCAGCTCTTGTATCTCCCATTCGAAAGAGCCTAATCAATAGAAACCAAAAACAGGTTTAACACCAAATATTAAATCACCAACCTAAATTACAACCTCATTGTTTGGTTTGGTAAGTTGAGTGCATGAAAGGAAAAAGTAACATACCATGAAGGTATCACCAATATTGACAACAAAAGCATTGAAATCTGGGCTAACGGAATGCCATTGATTGTCAACATAAACTTGAAGGCCACCCACTTGGTCTTGGTGAAGAATGGTTAAAGATGTTGGATCACAATGAGGTCCAGTGCCTAAAGTGAGGTCAGGTTTTTGACAAGGTGGATAGTAATTAAGCCTCATTATTGAACTGTTCTCTTCAAAGAACTCCTTAAAATAGGCTTTACCAACTCCAAGGCTCATTCCTAGAAGCTCCATTATGCCTAAAGAAAGAGTGCTCATGGCTTCACAGTAGTCCTGATAAACCTTCCTGTATAAATAAACAAAAGCATAATTTAGCAGCAGAATCAAAGCAAATGAAAAACATGAGTTAATTATATATCAACAAAAAAAAGAAAAAAAGAAAAGAAAAAAAAAGGTGACATATTTTTGATTACCCAAATTGGTCAAACTCTTTGCCCATTGTATTGCATAAGTAGTCTTTGACAAGATTAGATGAGTTTGTGTCAGCTGAGAATTGAAAGGAAAGTGTCTCTTTCCAAGGAAGCTTGGAAGAGAACCTACCAGTGAAGCTACTAGCATAACCACAGTGTTCCCCTACTCTCCTCTGAGCTCTCTGTTTCTGAGACAGGGGAAGCTCAAAGAAGTCATTCATGTAAAGATGAGCATCAGAGATTAACTGTTTGTCAATTCCATGATTGACAACCAGAAAGAAACCATGCTTTTGGCATGCCTCACCAACAAGCCTTGAGGCTTCCATTGATGCAACTGGGTCACCTGAGAGGAACCCTCCCAAGTCAATGAATGGGACTACCAGTTCAGGTACATCAAAGCAGGCTTTCTCTTCATCAGGCCAAATGAATTGTTTAGGTAGATGAAGTTGGTCTCTAAGAACTGAGGCATCAAAAACCAATGGTGGTTCTTGTTCTTTGCTTTCTTGGTTTAGTGGTTGAGGCATGGAGTGTATGCTTGTTATGCAGTTTATTGCCATTGTATTAATTAATAATGCTAGCCTGTTGCTATGGTTGTGAGAGAGAGAGAGAGAGAGAGAGTGGTTGTTGTTACGAGGGAGTGAAATATAAGTTCGTAGATGAGATGAAAGAAAAGCCAAGGCCGTTTGTAATCTTATATAAGCACGGACACACATACACACACGCGCAGACGCACTGTACAAATAACATTTTTTTTTTTTGCTTTTATTCAGAATCTATTTTGATTCAAATTCACTTTCCACTTTGAATTTAATTTATCAACTTGTCTTTATTAACGTAATGTAAATTGGCATGAAACACAACTTACAGCACTAAATTTGCAAGAAAGGGATCCAAGGTGAGATATTTGCAGAATGGTAGTTCTCTCTGACAGGAAATAATTAGATTAAATTATTAAAATAAATAAATTTAATTTTTCTTTCTTGAAAATTAGTTGCTTAAGATTTCTCAATTATTTAAGTGATGGTCCAGCCGGTATTTATCTTTTATCTTGTTCCCTGAATTATGTTTCTCAATGGCATATTGTACTTTCTAGGTGAAATTAATGCTAATGTCAGAGTCTTCAGTCGAGAAACGAGGAGTTCAGTATTTAAGAAGAATTCCAGCTCACGATCAATTGTTAAAATCGAATTTTTATGTAGAAATGTAAAGGGATGCTAAAAATATAAATGGTAGAAACGATATGAAACATAAAGTTTTTATTACACAAAATTAAGATATAAAATTATATATATATATATATATATATATATATATATATATATATATGAGATAGGATCTTTTGACAACGGTGTCAAATTTTAAATTTGATATCTCATCTAAGGGCCGTTAGATAAAAAAAATCAATGCTGTCACATGCTTTCAAATCAGAGTCGTTGATCTTTTTTGATTTAACAGCTCTCAGATGAGGTGTCAAAATGTGGTGTCAAAGGATCATGCTTCTATATATATTATCACATAAGTCACTATTCAAAATTAAATGAATAATTTCATATTTAGAAGATATAATTTACATAACAATTCCACCGATGGTTTCACTTTCTTCTTTCTCTGCAATAGCGACCCCGTGCGAGATTTTTTTTTTTCATTGTGCATTTTGATTTAAGGGAAATGGAAAAAGTTTTTTTTTTAAAAAAAGAAAAAAGAAAATTGGACCATGGATTAAAAGTTGACCTGATTCAGGTTTTTTTTTTTGTATAAGACCCAATTTAATTTTTTATTTAAGTTACGTTTTTACACGTAGTTTTTACCTGTTTTTATTAAGAAAATTTTTTACTTGTGTTTTAACACTTATCAGTTTAGTAAAAACATAAAAATGTAAGTTTTTAAATTTTTACACTAGTTTTTGACAACAGTGATCACCATAGTATGAAATTTGTTGCTGTACATTACTTGTTATTTTTGAGTATGATTCATACTTTGCATATCAACGAGGGTTTTTCTTGACAGAGTCAGCAGAAAGTCAATTGAGATAAAACACCCGGGCCCTTAGAGGCCTGGTACTTGACTTATTGTAATTTTTTTCTTAGTTGTTTGGGTTTGAGAGCATATGAATAGTTACTATTAATGTTTCTAAATCTTATTTATATTCATTTGTAAATCGAGTAATTTGTAACGAGTGATGATAATATAATACAAACAAACTTAATATAATCTATATTAGATAATCAAAATAAATTAATATGTCATATTTTCCTTTCCTTTTTTTTTCTTCGATTTGTGTGATTGTCTTGTCCAACAGTTACAAGCCAAAGTGTTTGAATGATGTTAGAAATCAAAGTGTTTAAATGATGTTAGAAATGACACCATCTTACACACTTGACTTTCTCTTAATATTATGGAATAATAATCTTCTTATATGACATCCTAAAATTCCTAGTGCTCATTGCCACTTTCACACCCTCAACTCGGTGTAGCCTTTAGAAATGCCTGCAACCTTTTTGGGGGAAACAACTGTAGTAACTTGATGCAAACTGTGAAAGGCAAAAGCACAAGTAACTACTACAAGTGACTAGTCCACTATGGTATGTCTTTAACAAAATATCTTGGAAATTGAATGAATAAAATATCTTGGAAATTGAATGAATAAAACATCTTGGAAATTGAATGAATTTAGGATATCTAAGTGATTCATGAAAACAAGGGAAGAGTTCAAAAAGAATGGGAAATAAAAAAGGAGGAAAATGAAGAGGAAAAATCGTGAAAATAAAGAACAAACATAGAAGAAGTACATGCATGGATAGATAGGATCAACTAGTGTGACTAGTAACTAAATGATGGAAATAGCATCCGATATGTGAGAGGAGGGGAGAGACAGTTATAGAGACTAGTTTTTATTTTGATATCAGCTAGAGATTACAGAGGAAAAAAATGACAGGTATAGAGTTGGAGGTTTTCATGGAATGAAAGCACCAGAAATAACGAGCAAAATGACTTGGTAGCTTTCAGTTCATCATTGGCTGAGTTTCCCATTATAGTATTGATTTGAAGGGCAGCAACAGGTACTGGGGATTAATGTATCCTATCATAAATATATTTAATATGTACATAATAACTATTCTGTTTCTTGGTAGTGTTTCTTAAAAAAATTATTATTTTTTATTTTTGTGTCTTAGAATAGTTTTTGAAAAAAAAATGTTTAATATCATGTTTTATTTTTATTTCGAGAATGAGAATTTCGTTTGATAACACCACAAATAATAGAAAAAAAACACTCCTATTAAGCATAAATTTTTTTGGTTCATCACTTTCCTTTTCATATAATGCGATGGCAGCGGCAACAATAACGTGGTGATGATAATGGTGGTGGTGGTAGTGGCATGGTGATAATAGTGGTGGTGACGACTGTGGCTGCGACGATGATAGTGGTATTAATGGTGGTGGCAGCAGTGGTGGTAGTGGCATGGTGATGGTAGTGGTGGTCGTGGTAGTGATAGCATGGTGGCAGCGATGGTGATGGTGATTGGTGGAGGTGGTGGTTGTGGTATGACGATGGTGACGGTAGTTGTGTCGGGATGGTGGTGGTGATGATGGTAGTGATGAAGAGTGATTAAGAGAGATAAATGTTTTTCATTTTGTGTCTGGAACCAAAAAAAGAAATTTCTTTATTCTTTTTTATATTTCCAAGTATAAAAATTAAACCAGTTCATTCTCGGAAACAAAAAATAAATCGATATTGTCAAACACTATTTCTATCCATTTTTGTTTTTGGGAATAAAAATTGAAAAAAAAAACTAAATCCAGAAAGATTATCATGCATATTCTTAGAGGGCAGAGAGAATGGTGATTAAGTTTGAGAAGGGTATAGTGCAATAGTGCTAAATGTTGGGCAGTCTAGGGGAGTCCAAATTACTAGATTACTATTCACATATCAATGGACCTAAGTAACCAACTTAAGAGAAGAAAATTATGACACTATATTTTAACTAAAAATCTTAACGCATTCTATTTATATGTCATTTCACTTATATGTGCCATATCATGTTTAGCATATTCCTTCCGGTTGTAGAAGGTATGTAACACTTTCAAAATACTAAATATATTTTTAAAATTTAAATAAATTCACATAATATTTTGTTGAGTAATTTTCTTTTATTGCCATGCGCCTTTAGTTTCGTGAACATGCATAAACTGTATATAAAGTGGTATATAATCGCAGTTCGTGTGGCACATAGGAGGGTAATGATCAAAATGACACTTTTTCCTTGCAATTATAGAGGACAAAAGCTCAATAAGTTCTCTCCAACTCGAGCAAGTTGCCCAACAAGCAGAACAGATCAGGTTGGGCCTTACTATTTCAAGTATAAAGTTGTTTCCATTTAATTTGAAGACAACAGGGTTCGTGTTCTTTCATTTTCCACTAAAAGATGGCTTCCTTTTTTTCCCATCAAACGTAACATCATTAGCTTGTGGGTCATATGGGGTTTTGGATTTTATTAGAGAAGAACATGGGAATAGTACCATCATATCCCAAATAGAGTTTAGTCCTGGATCTTGAAGTGAAGTAGAGTTGATTTTATGGTCTAAGTGGCCACCAGAAACAAATCATCTACAACGATGTCACTAAAACCCATTTTCTCAAGTTTTTGGGATGCAGGATATCCTAAGTAATATATTTGTGAATAATTTTCAGTGTTTTCCTTTAGAATAATTCTAAATATTCCTATCCCATATTCTTTATAATTTGTTCGATTATTAAATAAATAAAGTATTAAATATGTTTTTTAAATTGATATCTTCTTTGTTGAATATTAAGAAGATTATTTATAAGATGTTTTGTGGGAATATGATAATTTTTTTTAAGAAGTGGTGATGGCTTTAGTTAATGAATAAATCTTATAAACTCTTATGGCAGTTATGAGAAAAAAAAATCTCACTTTATTAGATAAGCAATAAACGGAAGAAGGTAAGAGTACTATTCTTTTATTGCATAATTCATGCTAAATGTGGTTATCTATTTATTTTATAAAAGAATATTATATCTTTTACAATCAAAATTAATAGTTAGAAGGGTTTAAATGAAAAATTATATTCCAAGAGTTCACTCAAGTGACAATATGAACTTAGGGGGCGTTTGGTACGTGAGATTTTTCAAAAATCTCGAGAAATTGAATATTTTTAAATTTTAAATTTACAGATATTATCATAAACTGGATGTAAAAATCATATTTTTGAAAATTGAGATTGTCGGCTAAAAAAAATTTCTCCTCTACCAAACGACCATTTAGGACAAACAATACTGCCAAAATAGTAGGAGGTTCGAATTTAGTTGGAGCTGGATAATTGTCATATTGCTCGACTTATAATTAATTTCATATTAGTGTGCATATTTTTTCCCGTCCATTGTAGGGATATTCAGAAAATCTAATTCGTCCCAATAAATTAAATAGGGTTATGAAATTAAAATAAAATAAAAATTACCATCCTTTAAAATAAAGTTGTCGAGACCTTGAGAATATTCCTACCTGGTTTTTATTTTTCTTAAAAAAAATCCAAATTGATT